TATATATCAGCCTCCTCACTCGCTTGAGATAGTACCAGCCACTGTTATGACATGACTAAGAGTGTGTGTCTGTAGACGAAGGGAGCGAGTGAGGAGGCTGGAGAGAGGGCGTTAGAGACTCATTGATGTACGGAGGAAGGCAAGACAACCAAAGCAGAGAATTTTTTTTTTTGTTGTTGCTTGTGACAGTAACTGCTGTTTTTTTAATTCTGCATCCACTCCCAAATAGGTGAGTTTATTTATTACACTTTAAATATGTTCAGATAAGGTGTTATTGTGAAAAAAATTGCAGGAATCTTTAATTTTTGCAGTGTCAACATGCTGTCTTAATTAGATTATTTAAAACATAATGTATTGCATTTTAATAACCACAAAAAAATGATTTGCTGATGGCCATAATTGCAGCTCTCACTCTATATGCCCCCTCTATTCAGGTAACATTTCTAAAATTTGTTAAGATTTTACCTGCAAACAAAGAAATGTTCTTAAATGTAACTTAATTTGTTCTGAATTAATGACAGTTTGGGTAAATATGTTAATTATTTTTATTTTCAATCATACTTCTTACAGATGCCTATTTTAATTCTTTTCATCCTCTAATTTGATCATAAATTGGGATGGGCTTTTATTAAATGTTTTGTTTCATATGGTAAATCAACTCAAGTTTAATCTATTAAGTAAAACATGCTCTCTTAAAAATTTATTGAAACCAACAGATTTATTTCTTTTATTTTCTCTTCAGGGCTTTCCAGCTTATTATGTACATGAGCACCTAAAACAGCAGATGGGCTTGTCTTCCTCTCTTTTACATTTTAACGTTAGCAGAGCAACTACATTTGTAAACTAATTCATGCAAAACCGCCAGAAGAACATATTTTTATGCATTAATTTTACCTCAGCTTGATAATAAGCAATTATATTTGATTAGAGGATTACTTGGTAATGCCTACATGTTTATTCATTATTCATTTACAGCTGAGTGGCTCAATTTGGAAAACATAATTTCTATATTCCAGCTCAATATTGGAGGTATTGTTCACAGTTTTCTTCATATCACAGCTACCACCTAGGAGTCTCATCATGAACAACTCGGAGCAGCTTTCATTCATCTTCAGCTGTAATGTCAGCCCAAGTGAGACGCCAAAGCTTGACATCAGTGTTACCAAAAGTGAGCCACTGACGATCGCTGTCCCTATGACCATCTTCTATAGCATCGTCTTCTTCTTTGGAGTATGTACACTCAAGTTCCCAAGACACACAGTTGTTATGTCAATGTCTAGCAGTGTGGATGTGACAAAAAGAAAGTAGAGCAACAAACCTGAGCTACAGAAGCCTAATGATGTGCAGACGATACGTTGTAAATCATCAATTGCGCTTTCCCAAATGCTTTACAGGTCCTATTCAATGGTGTGAGCATTCTGACTCTCCTTATGGATGTTCATATGAGAGTCAGTGCCATTCGTTTCTATCTACTCAGCCTCGTTATATCAGGTACACCATTACTCACCTCTGCAGAATGGTAGCAGTGACACAATTCACAGTCAAAGTGCCTGCATGTGCCTGCATTACATCGAGCTATTAGCGAATGGAAGATTGACATAAAACATTTAGAACAGAGAAGGAAATTGCATGCAAGTGCAAATGAAATGCCACTTTCTGTGTGATGTTGGATCTGATGGGTGTTTATTTCCTCAGCATGGTGTTGTATGTTCTGAAATTTGGCAGGTCGTCTTGATCTGCACTGTCAGAGTTTAATCTGGCCCTAGTTTGGCTAGTCCTTGGCCTAGCCTGGATGGAGACGTTTCTTTTCTTCACCTGTATCTCTCTATTTTTGTTAATATCTTAGACATTCTGCAGCTGTTGACCATCCCCGTGACTTTATATCGGTATTACTGGGAGAGCTATCCATGGCGCCTTGGCCAGGCAGTGTGCAAGGTGTACTTCATGGTCCGCCAAATATACTGTGCAACCACAAGCTGGGTTATTGTGACCTTCACCATCGAGCGTTACACAGCAATCTGCCACACCATGTGGTCTCTCTCCAGTCTGAAGGTTGAGTATTTGCACCATAAAGCTGTACTGTTAACTCATGACAGGTCTTCGTGGTCACTTTTCTGTTTCCGCGTTGCTGTGTTTCTTTACTGCTTGAATTTTATGTGAAATCTGAGGTGCAGTTCTTTGACAAAGAAGTAAATGCATCCGCACACTAAATATTATTTTGTTATAACTGTTGTGACATTTCCAGCACCTTATTCTAATTCTTAAAAAAACTAATTGCTGTGCCCAGAGTTGTAGAATCTTTATAGTTTTGTACCGATGTGCACTTTTAATCTGAACAGATGTCTGCAACACTGCATTATTTAGTGGTCTAAATAAGTTTGGTGCTCAAAGTCTCAATAATAACCGAGTTTGCTTTTCCTCACCCTTTTCTTTTTAAAAGAAGTCTCGACTGCCATGCCTTCTTGCCGTATGGATTGTTTCTCTGGTCTCAGCAGTGCCGTTTGCTCTGGTCTATGACCAGGCTCGGGCCTGCATTCTGGACTACACTGCAACAACACAGGAGGACGCCTTTAAGGTATCCACCATGTGTGAAATGACAGAACCTGCCCCTGCACACATCTATAAGGGAGCCTTGCTTCTGAGAGCGACGTTCTTCTTTCTGGTAAGATCAGTGACAGATTTACTTTTCTGCATCAAACATGCACACTCATCCAGTAATTCCTGTCCATCTACAGGTCCCACTGGTTTCCATCTTTACCCTGTATATGCTCATTCTGCTCCACCTAAAGAGGAATGGCCGTCAGAGGAGGAACATGGGACTTATGAGACCGGTTCTAGAGGGAAGACAAGATATCCGCTGCCATCAGAATGGAAAGTTACTTCTGAATGAGAAACGAGCTCTGAGACTCATGGGTAAGTTATTGAAAAACTATAAAGTTTATGTCTTCAGGTTGTGGCATTATAGTGATTCAGTCCAAATGTTCAATTACTCCAAAAGGTAACAGTTTTTCTAAAAATTTCTGAAAAGTTAGTGAGGACAACTGTATGTGCGGACATGTGCAAAGTCCTTTATAATTAAACTCTTTTTTTTTCAGGTGCAGTCGTAGTGGCCTTTTTTCTGTTAAATTTTCCAGATATTGCCTCCTCACTGATGCAGATGTACGTGGTGGTGTGGTCCGACACGGTCCTGTCTGTCTACACTGTTCTGAAATCCTATTTGTCACTTCCACTGTGGTACATCAATGGTGCTCTGGACCCGTTGCTCTTCTGTATCTCTTCCCACACGTTTCGCCGGGCGTGCTGGAGAACTTTGGGCAGGCTTAGACCTCGCTGTTCCTTGAAGTACCAAGGCCAGACTTGGCTGAGGACGTGACGTTCCTGTGAGGACGCGGGCACAATGGTCAGAAAGAAAATTGGTGGCTAAAAGGAAGAAAACTTTTGAAGAAAAGACACACACTTTGACAGAAATCAGAGCAAGGTTAGATGGAGAAGGCAGTGAATGTCCCTTTGGACATTAGAATCAGCGAAAAAACAGTTCTCTGCTTTTTATTATGCTCTTAGAAAAAATGTCATTTTCTTTAATTTCTTTCTGTGCTTAACAGTATTTCAGATATTTATTCATGTTAAATAAAAAAAACCAATGTAATATTGTAAATGCAACATAAATGTATATTGTGCAAAAATGGGTAATTTGGCTGTAATGAGTTGTGTAATGTCTCTCAGACCTCTTTGTACAGACAAATCATTCTGTTAGTAAAAAAAAATCTACTTTTGTTGTGATATTTATATTTGAAGCCTCGATCGTGTTTCACTACCAACTAAAGGATATTTATAACTGTATTGTTTACTTAAAAAAAATGTTAGACAATTTAATTTAGGTTGATTGTTCTTCAAACATATATATTTTTCAGTCTGGGCAACAAGAAAGTGCAAAATGTTTTTAATAAAAAAATCAAATGGTTTGTGTGTTGTACTCCTGCTTTGTACCTGGGGTGCACAGGATGTACCAGTGTCCATACACACTGGACAGGTTGCAAATCCATCACAGATACATAGAGACAAACAACCAGTCACACTCTCACTCACCTAGAGACAATTTAGAGTTGCCAGCCTCACATGCATGTTTTTGGTCACAAAAAGTTGTTTTTTACTTCTATTTGAAGTAAACTTATGCCAGTGTCACATCTCATAGAATAAAGCTGAAACTTTCACAAACTAAGTTAAAGATTTAGGGTTTGTGCTTGCAGGACAAAAAAAAAAAAAACAACATTTTTGAAATCCTAATATTTGAATATCATACAATTGTAGTGCAATCACTCAACCAAGCATAATTTCCTAATTAGAATGAAATATTTATGTAATAGTTGAACCCAGAGCCCTCTCTCCTTAATGCAACTCTAAAACTGCTTTGTTTTTAATAATTATTTTTCAGTCTTATCCTAATTTGAACTATTTTCTACATTTGCCGTATGTCTTTGTGCTCACTTACTCCGTTGTAACTTAAGATACAGACAGTTTTTCCTTTTATTGTGCGTAATTTAAAAAAAAATTGATATTGATCCTTTTCTTTCACATTTTGACAGCAGGTTTTTTTTTCGGCTTTGTTTCTTGTAATGTGCTATAAAAATAATTAGCCTTATTTGGTGTAAGATTCAGATTTGTCCAATTAATTTAATGGCTTAAGTGCACAATCATAAATTATATTTTATATCTTTAGGGGATTCTGTGGCAGTCCCTATACTGTAATAAACATACTTCCTGCTGCATTACTGGTTCTATAACTTTTCGGCGAATTTAGCTTAATGGGCCTAAAATATACTGTTTATTATTTGTATTTAAACTATTTTACTACGCTCACAAAAAAACAAAAAAACCTTTTACTGTGGGTTTAACGGTCGATACGTAAATGACGTATTTTGTAGGCGGGGCTAAAGACGAAACAGCGGAAGATTCAAAAAAAGAAGATGGCGACGAGGAAAGATCCCCAAAACACTCGCAAATTGGACAGATGGTATCAACTTTTATTAAATATGTAGTCACATAAACAGCTTTGCAATGCTTCCTCGCTGATTGTATTAATCGTACGTTTCTGTTATACTTAGTTACAATAATTTTCTTTACTTTTTACTACTGTTTATTGAAATAATTGCTAGCTTCCGCAGCATAGCTAAGTTGCCTAGCAGTGCATTTCTGCAACTCTACCAGTGATTCTAACTACAATATACTTGTTGCGTAAACGTTTTAACCGTTTTTTTTTTTTTTTTTTCCAACTATAGATCTTTATAATTTACCAGCATGCGTGGTTTTTGTTTTTGTCTCTCAGGGTTAGTAAATGCAACATGTTCTTCAGCCATGAAATGCCAACTGGAAACCAGTCTGTGGTCTTTAACCCGGACTTCTATGTGGAGAGATTAAGACATGAACATCCGCAGACCTTCATAGATTTGGTGCTTAGCAACATCACTCGACTGATAGATCTGCCAGGGGATGAGTTTGCCCAGCTGACTGGAGAATTGGAGCCCAGAGTTCCCTCTTCCACTGGTTTTCTGCGCTCCTTCAACTTCCTCAGACGGAAAGGTTTGACTTGAAACAATATGTACAAGTGTCAGCAGCATGAAATCATCACAATTTATATTAACTGTTATGGTAGTTAATCATTATTTTAACACAGCCCAATATATTTTTAGTAGATAACCAATAACTACTTTTTGTCTTTTGATCAGCTCTCTGACATTTACATCTTGAGTTTTTTTTATTTCCTGTTGTAATCTTTAGGTGTTTTAATTTATATTGTGTACCAATCATTATATATTACATAGACATACAGTAGAAAAAAAACTTAATCCATACAATCATCCATTTGCTTGCAGAAAAGGGAGTCATTTTTGGGGCACCTTTAACTGAAGAAGGAATAGCACAGATCTATCAGCTCATTGAATACCTGAGTAAAAGTAAGTATTTACGTATGCTTCTCTGTCAAAGCAGATATAAATATATGCAAAAAGTTTTTCATCTACAAATCCTATCTATAGTCACTGTATTTGATAACTGAGTTTGATTTTGTTTTATTATATTGAAGAATAACGAGTTAGCATGATGTCAGGGTTTATTTTGAGCAAGAAATGATGTCATTCACTGAAAGTGGACACTGGGAGCAAATGCTTTAGTCAATAATTCATTTGAAAGCACTTTGGTCTAGCTGACTCTCCATCAGTCTTTTTGCTCTATTATTATTTTTGATTTTTTTTTCATTTTTCACTCTGCTTTGTCTTTATTTTCACTCCGTTCCCAAACACTTCCACATCACATCTCTTCCCGTGTCTCTGCTATTTTATTTTCCCCTCAGATCTGCATGTGGAGGGGTTGTTCCGGGTGCCAGGCCACAGCTTAAGACAGGCAGCCCTCAGGGAGATGCTGAACGCTGGGGCTGACATAGATCTAGAGACAGGAGACTTCCACCCCAATGATGCAGCCTCGTTGCTTAAAATGTACCTAGGAGAGCTGCCTGAGCCTCTGCTCACGCACAGACATTATCTTGCTCACTTGAAGATTGGAGGTGTTTATTGGTTTATGCACAGATTCCTATTTGAATTGTAGCATAATCTGCTCTGTTGTAATGATTCTTTTGTATCTGTGTTGTCCAGAGTTGACTCTCTTTGATGAAAATGGGGACAAGACAAGCAACCCAGATAAGGAACACCAGATTGAGGCATTTCAGCTGCTTTTCATGCTTCTCCCACCAGCCAACCGCAGCATGTTGAAGTTGCTGCTAGACCTATTGTACCACACAGCTCGCAATCAACACGTCAACAAGATGTCTGCTATTAACTTGGCAAAAATGTTTGCTCCGCACATCATCTGGCCCAAAAATGCAAGTGTTAAGCATCCAAGCTTTTTAAAAGTATGTCTTTAAGTTTCTTTGACACTTGTTTTTTTTTCTTTGTTTATGTTCAAGGTGATGGCAAGTGATCTTCAGGGGAACATAGAGAAGCTGAATAATAACATAGCATTCCTCATCAGGTACTCGCAAAAACTGTTCAAGGTAAATAACGTTATGCTTCTTTGTCAGATCCTTTTTTGTGTTGCTGCAGCAACTCTTGTATACATGTAAAGGAATGTGTTTTTTTTTTTCAGATTTATGAGATACAGTAACTTATTTGTATTAAATGTGTAGTTTGTTAAATCAAGACAAGACACAAATAGGCACCATTTGTCATATGTATAGATGAATACACAGCTTATTACAGCCATTAAGAAGATGCATTTCCCATTTTAGTCACAGAGCGGAGTCCCTACCATTATTCAAGGAGGGCACTCTGCTGCCCTAACAGAACTGCACTCCCCCTGTCAAGGTCATGGCTTGCAATAAAATAATGTCTGTATGTGTTTTTTACACGTGACCAATTCACTGCGGCCATTTGAGATGCCAATGGCCTCATTCTTATTATGGCAAAGTTGTATAAAGGCCAAAATCACCCTTTCTGTGTCAAGCTTTAGGAGTTTTATCACTGTAATCACATTTTGACACATTATTTTTTTTTTTTTAAGTTTTATCATTTATAGATGTGCTTTACAACCCCACCCCAATCCACCCTCACCTCACCCAAGCCCAGAAACTTAGGGGAAATGCTGTCACCTCTGAAGACGAGCAGAGATTAGGGCTTGTGATTAGTGCTGTCATTGTTGGCAAGATTGCTGAAAATCTATCTAGCAATTTGGTGAAAAAATGTCTGTGTGATTGAAAAGGCCCTCAAATTTAGTTTTTTTTTTTGTGTGTTTGAATTGCCTAGACAGGTGGCCTTGATTTAGCTTGTGCTTTCCTAGTGCCCTTCAGATTTCATGTGTTTATCATTACTGTATGGATCTTTCATTACAAGCAGAGACATTACTAGCGACACAAGAAATGCAGATGGGTTAAAGGGGAAGAACAAAGTATAGGCATGTGTCTGAAAATCATTGAAGATTCTTTAACTATCATAGCCACTAGTACAGAACATAAATTTGATGACTATGCTAACAGATATAAAAGTTGTAGTCCTTTTGTTCTGTTTTTGTTTGGCCAGCATGTGCAACATAAAATGGTGAAAATCCACTTAAATGAAATAAATCCATCCATTATCTTTATGCGCTTCTTCCTTTCTGGGTTGCAGAGGTCACTGGGTTGCCCATATCCAGCAGTCACTGTGAGAGAGGCGGGGTACCCCTCAGACAGGTCACAAGTCCATCACACATGGGCAGCTGTGACTGAGTGGTTAGAGCAGTCGTCCTCCAATGGGAGAGTTGGGGCATGTTGAAGTGTCCCTGGGCAAGACACTGAACCCCTCATTGCCTCCGGTGTATGTCCCATCGGTGTATGGATGTGATCTGAAGCATTGATTAGTCTTAAGAGATATAGCAGAGTGCTGTATGAATGGGTAAAAGAGGGCACAGATTGTAGTGTAAAGCGTTTTGAGTATAGAAAGGTGCTTTATAAGTACAGTCCATTTACCATTACCATCAGATATAAAATTAAATGTCAAAATTAAAATTAATTTTTGGTCTGGTGATAACCAGGTCAGTGTCATAAATCTACAGATAACCTAAATTGCTCAGAAGCAGTTGGCTAGGTTATAGCTTTATTTTATTTTTTTTGGTTGCATGGCTTGATGTCAGCACATGTAAATCTCCCGGATGTCTCTGCAATTAACCCAATATTTTAATCAGCAGTGAAAAATAAAACATTGCTTGTGTTCCAGCTGCACTGCCAACCACTCTTACCACACAGAACAGTATTCTTTAACAGTTGAAGGAATTGTGTTGTACACTACTTTTGTTTTTCTTTCCCACAACACCCATTTCTCTTCCTCTGTGAAATGGAAAATGGCAAGTTTTTGTTTTATCATACAGTTAAACTAAGTCCAGAGGTGAAAAGTATCGTGTGGTAGATGTTATTGTGTCGTGGAAGCGTTTGTGCGTCAGGATGCACATGTTTCCAGCAGAACATTGCTGTTCATCAAGAAGAGCAGCCTTCCTCACTTTGTTATGGTCATAATGTTATGGCAAATCTGTGCATTTTGTCTACTTCTTTACACCATTTTGATTAAAACTAGTCAAACTGAAACCAATGCCTGATATAAAACAGATATCCAAACTTTCCATTCAGATGAAATGTATGGAGCATGTCAAATAGTACAGTGTGGTTTGTGTTTTTCTGAGTTCACATGTGTGTGGAATAATTTATCACCTGAAATATTACATCTACTGTGGACCCTTCAGACTAGATTGGGGCATTTGTGTATCATGCTTGATGTTGAGAGTGAGCTATTTTTTATATTGCCACATTAATTTGGCTACAAAAGTGAAATAGTTTATTAGAAATTTTCTTTTCCATTTTTTTCATTGAAGGCTCCTGTGTATATCAAAGAATATGCCCAGTTTGTCTACAGAGGATCAAAAAGTCTTCAGTTAAGTGTAAGTATTTTGTTCTTATTATTTTAGTTATTTCCATTTGGGTGATCCTCTAAATAAAGAGTAGTGTTTGTACCACATTAAATATTATGTAAAAGGTATTTCCTTTGTGTTTCCTGATTTTGTTTAATCATCCAGTAACTTTAGTGTTGATACTTCTAAAGTATTTCTTGTCTAAATTTAAAACCTAAAGGCTGGGGTCTCTTTCAGGTTATCAAAGAGTCATTTATAAATAAAGCTAAAATAAAATTTGAGGCAGTTTCAAATTTATATTTGCACTCTGCCTCACACACATTTATTCCATGTATAAAACAGTTGTTTCATCGAGCTAACAATGTGGAATTGCATGTCTGGATTTTTCTAGGATGATTTAAGCGTCTGTTCTGAGACCAACGATGGCTCTATGGCTGCGATAACTGCTGCCTCTCCGTCTCCCTCAATAAGAACAACCGCAGGTGAGATTTGCAGCAGCATCAAGTCGTCTGAGACTCAGAGTTACACTGAGTCTGCCCTCAGAGAACTGTACCAGCAGGTCAGCATCATGCCAGAGTCTGCCAAGAAGAAGAAGCTCATCAGACAGGTAACTTGAGTGTGATCATCCCAAGGACAAGAAATCCTTTTGTACAACTTACATTCATAACTGGTGCATAAAGAAGTATATGTTTTTTAGTTTGAAAAGCAGCCTGAGCAGACTCCTTTGGCACACTCTCAGACACCGTTCATCAGGAGACACTTGCGCTCACGCTCTTTGGGTGAAGTTATTAAGGTACTGTATATTTAGCTTCCATATTTGAAGCCTTGAGAAAATTTGTTTATCTTACTCCGAAGCAGCCAGTAAATTGAAAATATATTTTTATTATATTTTGGCACTAGCGGTCCTGTTAGGAGGTATTTTCTTAAGTTAAACAATAATATTTAAAGTGCATGTAAGAAGCCTAAACACTTTTTTTTTCTTTCACAGTTCAATTTTCTAAAATAGTAATCAGCTTTTTGTATATTTTTAACAGAGAAAAGCACTGGGAAGACAAATATTACCATAAAAAGGAAAGCTCCAGAGTGATGCTGTGAGTATTGCATCTCCTCAGTATGAATGTGTTTTCTAGAACAAATAAAGTATTAACCTGCTTTTATTATAAAATAAATATATCAAATCATCACAATCAAAAACATAGCTAACAGTTTTTGTCTTGTGGATACAGCAGGTGCGGTATTCCATATAGTTAGTGCTCCTATCAAAACAAATATCTAAAATACAATCTCCAAAGTAAAAATTCAATACAAAAAAGTGAATCCAACTGTGATAATGACAGATAAATCGAAAACCTTTAGATCATTTGATAGAAAACAATAGCACAAGATGGATTGTTTCATTTTTGTGTTATCTTGTTTTTTGTCTGTGCACATGTCTGCATTATTTGTCCATTTGCAAAAGTAGTGGTGAGGAAACAAATCAATCCATACGTTTTGGCAAACGATGTAGGGCGAACATTAATAAATTGGAATCAGTTGTGATAGCCGCAGCTGTATCTGGGTGTGTGAGCCTTATTAGCAGCATTAGTTGGAGCATCATTGGCTGAGGGGACACAGGACATTGGCTGCTTGAATGTTGAACGCTGTTCTAGTTCTGATAAATGGAGGAGCATGTTGTTCTGAACTCACAGAAGCTCCCAGGAGACAAGACTCCAGAGGGTTGGCAGAAGAACAGTGCTTCAGCATATTCAGAAGAAAAAACGTGATTTTAACCATTTCGCTACATGAATTTTGGGTATATTTGGAAGAAAGTTAAATAAAATTTTTCTTCTTCTTTTGGCTGCTCCCTGCATTATGGGTCACCACAAGTCGCATGAAGTCGTACGAAGACTTGGCAATTATTTTTACGCCGGGTGCCCTTCTTGACACAACCGCAGATCACCGAGCTACTGTGTGGAGCAGAGAGCTGCTATTTAGGGCACCCTGAGGAGCAGATGGTGGGGGTTAAGGGCCTTGCTCAAGGGCCCAGAGTGGGGCGAATGAGGGTGGAGGCAGGTGTGGCTGCTTCACCTATCCCACCCACATTGTTGATGTTGTCAGTACTTTGGAGTTGATCCTGTGATCTTTCAATCACAGGCTCACCTTCTCTAACCTCTGCTCCACCACTCCCATCAAGAAAGTTAAAGAAATACAATCCCTTATTAAGGAACAGCTGAAATCTTTAGAAAAATAACAGAAACCGATGGATTCACTAAGAATAGATAAATTGGGACTGTCATCAACAAAAAACAGTGATGCAACGTTTAAAAAATAACTAACAGCTTGAATCTTTTCTACTGAAAATGCTGACATTTGGTGCACAGTTTTCTTCAGGATTGCTTGACTTTTAACTTGATCTAATTTAGTTTTACATCGGAAGAAAGAACACATTTTGTGACGTAATAGTTTTACAGTTTCGTAATGATCAGATGTATTATATTAGGTGACAGTGCAGACAAATGTTTTGCTTCTGTTTGTTTAGGCACTGCTCGTATGACAAAAAATACCTAAAAAGCTTGAAAAGTTGTTAAAATATCCCTAATAATAGTCTGCAAACATTTATAGCTAAGTGTATAGCTACTTTGTTTAGTTTGGTGTTTGTTTAGTGTATATCTTAGATCCATATTTACTGGGGGTTTTATACGTTATATTTTGCTATTTTTGGGTGTAACTGGGACCTCATGTACCACATGTGATGGATCGACAATAAAGCTACTTGAACTAAAAATGTATGTCATGTATAGTAAAATACTTGTTTGGAAATAAACTAAAACATTAAAAAAGTCACAACAACGCTTCAGTAAAGCTTCCGTCTTTGAACTGTCGTCATCGCAGCAGTGAAGAGTTTTGTCACCAGTCGAGTCTTAAATTACTAACGTTGCTCGTTTGAAATCTGTCTCACCACTTTTTTTTTTTTTTTTTTTTTTTTCTCGGTCTTTTTTACAGGATTGATTGTCCTTCCAAAGACTGTGCTTCTCGATTCCTGGAAAACCATTTTTCTTCATCTAAAAGTGAATAAAATAAATTTGGAGGCTTTGGGAAAAACAAAATCATGGAATGTGTTGTAAGGTTTGGATTAGACGTCCCATTTAAATCTGTGGTTTGTTTTAAAAAAAAAATGTCTATGCAATTTACAAAATTATATGATTATATCAGCAGTTAGGAAGTTGACCAAGTCTATTTTAGAACAGTTCAGGTTTCTTAGTTTCTAGAGTTTATTATCGCCATTGTTAACTGTTACAAGTGGCATTAATGAGCAACTGTGAATTTGGAAAAAACAGTTTTTACCACTGACTGCAACAAAGTTATTTAGGAAAGCTAATTATATTTATGTTTTTATTAATCTATGTTTTGAGGATGAACTGTGATGAGCAGGGTGTGGGTTATTTTCCTCTTGTTTTTATTTAAATCTATAAGTTATAGTCAGACTTGAGCTTAAAAACCAAAAAAATCCCTTCAAGTGAAAATCTCCTAAATTATTGTCCCAACTTGAAGTATATAGAGTACATTGGTCTTCCCCCCCACCAAGTAAGTTAAAAGTTTATCTAAAATGGTTTCATATGTGTATAAAACAAGAGTTTTGTTTGCTGGGAAAGAAGTTACAAGCATCAGCTTGTATGCTATGTGAATATTTTTCATTTTTTTGTACTTGAAAACTACTGTTACATGTTTTTTTTGTTTTGTTTTCTTGACTTTTTGTTGAGGCCAGTTTTTAGTCATATGCAAATGTGAACTCAGCTTTTATTCTAAACCATTTATATATTTTAAGTGTTTTTGTAATTTGACCAAACTTTGTTTTTTGTTTTCATTATCTGGTTGAATTCAAGCTAAATCTACTGTTCGCCTTTTTGCCTCTGGTGCCTTCAATGTGGGCGTTTACTGGGAGAATTTGAACCACTATGACTTTTAGGATCACTTTGTCTTACTCTGAGTAATATGCAAATCTGTTGCAGTTCACTTTATTGTGACAAATGCTGCATAGTCCACTGTTAAAGATGCACGTCACTGTAAGTAAAATGCATAAAGATATGTTCTAAAATCTTCTTTTTTTAATCATAGTTTTATATAAGATGTCAAAAAATGTGCTTTACATTTGAATTTTGTTTTTCTCTTTCAGCCGTCTGATGCTTTGCACTTTTTTGTAGAGCCACAAGGTGATGCTCTTTAGTTGAATATACTTTGTGAGCAAAAAAACGTGAAATAAACTGAATGAAAAACAGTTTTATAAATGCCACCATTATATGTTTCTGACTACTTTAATGTCCTCCATGTTTAACAAAACGTCCCAGTGTCCTGTCGGCAGTAAACAAGCAGGTGTTTAACAACTTTAGTAAAACATGAATTTTCAATACATTTTACACAAGTTTTAGACACATCACCAAAAAACAAACTCACTACTTTGAACAAATAGTATACTCCATAACTGAAGGGAAGAGAAGCTGTCCAGGTCTTTGCAGATCCTAAACATTTTTTATTTTTATAGATTTTAAAGCTTTGGTGAGTGGATATTAAGACTAGCCTGCTTTCTGCAGCAGGAATGTCTCTGTCATTATGGTGTCTGCGTTAATTCATGCTTGGTATTGTAAGTGTATGTTTTAAACATCTGCGGGGAGGGTTCTCTTTTGCTTTTCACCAGTTCTCTAACAGACGGCTTTGACAATAGTACAAGTTGCACATCTGAACTCCAAACGTTATATTTGGTGTGCCTCGTCCAAAATTATATCTGTGAAATGAGAGGGTCGCCCAGAAATAAACTTCACTTCAACTAGGAGTGTTTGTGGGCTTGTGAATTGGTGTGATTTAGCTTTATGCAGTGAAATGCTTGAGGTTGCCAAGTCTGTTCGCTTTACAAAATACCAAAAAGTCACATTTTGAAAAGAGACCACAAGTTAGAGCTGCTTGGTTTGCTTCCCATAAAAATGTTTTGAAAAGACTTGATGACTGTGATACTAACTTTTTTATGATTTAGAGTTGCAATGGAATGCCAATATTCAGTCGTGGAGCAGAACAGTTTGCAAGCTTTAGTAAAAAATACCACGTATGTATGACCATAATTCAGTTGTAGCACCTCACTTGAGTCGCCTTTTTTTAGATTTCATGTTTTACAAACTCTCTTCCGCCAGACGATTGTAATTGCTGCCCTGTCCCCCTCTTCTTACTGCTGTAGGAAGAATTCTTGCTGTGTATTTGTGTGCATTCCTATCACGACTCTGTGAGAGCCGAGGGATGTTACTACCCCCCATTACCACTAAACACTACTGTCTCCTCTTTAATTAAGCCATTCGTAGAGGATTTACACGACTCTGACGTTTTTACTGACACAGCTTTGTGTGCGAGTCGGTGTGTGTGTTCACCTGCATGCTCCTGGGCAGATTTGGTCAACAGGGCACATACATTTAATATTTCTGCTTCCATTTATCTTGCTTATTTGTTAATGTTTTATCTTTTTTTTTAAATAATCCCGGTAACGTCGATGTAGGTTATCGGTGTATGCGTGCTGATCTATGTAAGCAGGCAGTTTTGATTATTCAGAATTACATGCTAAATGCCATTAAAGTGCTTCAGTGGTTCTCAAGATTGTCATTTCATTGCGGGATGATACTTTGCATGCAAATTAGAATCTCTTCCAGACCAGTAAAACAATTTCTCCTACTAAATTCTCACAATTTGCGCCTTATTTTAAGTAATGCCACCCATCTTTACTCTTTTTTTATTTATTTTTTAATCGTGTGGATATAAACCAGTGACATTCCTGCTTTTGTACTCGCACATCCAGAATGTTGATTTGCAATTTCTGCTGCTTCTCGTTTACTTGCCTCCTCTCAGAAGAGTGCTGTTAACGGGCGTATGAGTCTCTTGTTTGGGAAGTTAAGAAAAGGGTTTCTGTTGTTTTTCCCCCAAATTTAAAAGTCAGCAGGTATGAGTGTAGCTGTTTGTCTTTTTAATTTGCACATGCCAGACTGATCTTTGCTCCAATGGGAAAATGAATGTTTTGTGGGTCTTTTCCACTGATGTTCCCTCCAGCAGCTTCTCTGTATGTGTCCACACTTAATTTTCACCTTTAGACAAAAACTTTCTGTCTGTTTATTGCATCTTTTTACCTCCCTGGACTGAATTGTTGATGCTTCTCTTCTCCTGTGGGTTCTCTCTCCTTGTAGATGCAACCGTCTCCCTGAAGCATCTCCCTCCGGGCTGAAGCTTTGCAGTGTCACACAGGTTAGGACTCTCTGTAGGGGGAAGGGTGGCGAGAGGGGGTCGCCTAGAGGCAAACCTGAGAATGAAGAATGAGGAGGGGAAAAATAAAAGCAGTGATTTCTGGAGTAGATTTGTATTATAAGGAGAGTCAGGGGAATGGAAGAAGGATCGCAGGAATGAGAGTGAGTTCAGGCAGGGTTGTGTGTGTGTGTGTGAGGAGGGGTAGGGGTGGAGTCGGGGGGGGGGGGGCTCTGCTATTTGTAGATCCTTGTGATGGATGACTAGTGTGTGTGTGAGCAAGAGAGAGAGACTGGCTTTCTTTTTTCTTTTTTTTTTTTTCTGTGTTCCCTCTCTCTTCAGGAGAGCAGAGCAGAAAGTGAGAGGAGGACAGACGTGTGCAGACCAGAGCGCACCAACTCCACAAAGACAAGACAGGAGAAGAGTTTGGAAGGAGAGCACAAGAAACCAAAAAGATTTTTTTAAATTTTTAATTTTACGACAAACTAGTGGATATCAAACCTGCTTTATAAATACTGAAGAACAACAAAAAAGGGATTGTTGTGGCTTCATTTTTGAGAAGAAACTCTTTTTCTGTTGATGTTCACCAAGTCATTCAACTGATTCCAGCAGACTTGTGAGGTGTTGCAGGACTTTGGGAAGCAGAAGCGGTGAAGGAAAGGTTGCTGTGGTGAACATGTCCATTCAAGATAGCCGCTTTGAGCCAAGAATGGGCAGACTGGCCGGACAGTGGATGTGGGTGGTGATGCTCTTTGCCCTGGTTGTAGGCAAAGCCGGTGCCTGCCCAGCCTTGTGTACCTGCAGTGGCACCACAGTAGACTGCCATGGACTGGCTCTCAAATCCATGCCAAGGAATATCCCCCGCAATACTGAAAGACTGTAAGTGCTACTTACTTTTCTTGCATTCTTTTATGAGTAATAATCTACCTGTCTTCCCATTGTTTTCCCTCTGGCTATGTTATTGTAGCACACATGACTTTCTTTGTACCAAAACAGAAGAATAACCCTGTCTGAAGCTGTGTGCGAGTGTATCTGTCAGTCAGGCAGACAGGCACTTTACTGGCTCCAGTCAGGTATAAATAGGCATAAGTGACAGGAAAGAGCAGATGTGTTTCCTTTCACTTGTGCAAAAGTCTTGTTTATTCTGAATTCTGAGCCAAATAGGTTCATTCTCATGTTTTCTCTACTTTTAAAAGTCTAAATGTCAAGCGTGACAACTCTATATTTCATTGAAAAAACTTACCACTGATTTGTGCCTAAATCTTTTGACGTACAAGGATGTGTTTCCATCTCTCGTTTACCTCTTCACTCTTCTTCCACTTCTGGGTTGCCCCATCTCTTCCACGTCATGCCTCTGAACACTCACCTAGCAAATTGTTAAATCATGTTGAAAATTAAGCAAATCTGCTGCTTAAGTGAGTCTCGCACATGGATCTTGTAAAACGGTAGGAGGATGGGAGAGGTGAGAAGGAACGCTTTCCTGCAGAGTGGAGTTTCTCTGTCGTTTCTGACATTCCTTTGAAATATTTATTGGTAAATCAGAGGGAGCGCGAGGAGGGGAAAAAAAAAGATTGTTCTATTTCAGCTTTTAGAATATCAGTCGTGAATAAAACATGTGGTGGGAACGCTCGTGTTGGAGGCATGGTGGGAGCTGGTTGCGCATTTCATACTTTCCATGTTTAATTCCTAAGAACACCTTTTTTTTTTTTTTTCCTCCAGATTGCAAATATGCACATGCTGGTTTAATAATGAATCGCACAGGAAGCATGGTCATTTTATGGTTTCCTTTCCCACAAATGCCCATTCACTGAAAATACGCCCTGCCATATCATTCAAGAACATTTTATGTCAGAAGTTGCTTGAGAGTTTGTAGGTCATTTTGAGCGGACAATTTTATCATTGTGGCATCTCTGGCCCTTTTTGGGGAACATCTGGCCCACTCAGCACATTGCATTTTAAACACACTGTGCATAACGGTCATGTGTAATTTATGCCTGGGCCTTTCTTCTTTTGACGTGTGTGTTTAGGTCCAGAAGAAGAAAAAAAAAGACGACCGGTCTCTGCTGGGAAGTTGTATTCAACAATAGAAACAGTGCTTCTCTGCGAGCTGTGTTGCAGGGTGATTCATCAAGGTGGTTGTGCAAATCAACGCAGGCCAGCCGGCCCCACATGGAGCTCCCATGTGCATATCTTGATTTATGTGTGTGTTTGAAAAAAAAAAGTGTGATCAAGTGAGCAAATTTGTGCAAGCGTCATGTGGGTCAAAGATGACTAATGACTGTTTAGAATTGCTCCAGGGCTTTTTGGCTTTTGGGTTTAGAAATAGACCTAAATTACCAAATTTACTAATACCTAAAGTTAAAGTCTGCAAATACAGACAAATCCGCATACGTCTCAGTTTATTTGACTCTTTTTGTGGATGGGTTCGAAATGATGCTTTAAAGGGTGTGTGTGTGTTATAGAAGGAGAGAGACAGTTTTGGGGTGGTGTTTGATGGGTGCGCTGTGTTTAGAGGCTACTGAGACAAACAGCAGAATCCCATTTGCACTTGTCAGTGTGGGTTTGGATCAGGTTTGACCCCTGGGCTCCTCAGACCGAAGCCTGTAATGAGAATGTGAGCTCCATGTGTTAAAATCACATCCTGCTGCGTATGTGCCACTGACCCCCTTTGTCCCTCCTGCATCTATTTTTACATCATCAAGCGTTTTTGTTTTTTTTTCTTGCTTGCTTCTCTTTAATTTTGTTCAAAAGTCTTTTAATTTATTAACTTGCGCAAAGCTCCAATTGAACTGTGGCTCATATTAATGTCAGAATCAACCGTAAGGAAATTTGCAATGCTTATTAAATAGCTTTGTTTGTTGGCCAGGTTTCAAACTAAACCCCATTCTTTCTTTGTACTTGTTTAGTCTTCTAACAGTTTTTATATCTATTTTTAGATAGATTAGGCTTGTATCTCATTTATAAATGTGTTTATTTGCAGAAAAGCCAGACCTGTGTATCTTAATACATGTTCAGTGCTTTCATATAAACGCAAAGAACCAGTGTTGGGTCATAAAATACCTTGTATCAAGATCTAAGGGCATGTTGGAGCTCTTCCAACACAAAAGAGATGGAAGCTGCTCACCACATGCATTCACTGTTTTTATTCATAAACTTGAGCATATGCCTCCACATGTGGCTGTGCGCAGAGAATAAGTAATGCTAGATGGTAACACATGGGGGTTAGTATTGGTTGAAGATGAGGGGCTTGGTTGCTTTGATAGCTACCAGGGCTGAAGGTGGGAGGTGTGTGTGCTCGTGCCAGGTCTTGCCCGCAGTGTTGCTGGCACAAACACATAGCAGCTACAACTGACAGCACCTGATCCATAATTTACCCTGACACGGCTGAGCACAGCCTGCCCTACTACTTGCCAGTTTCAGAAATTGGATAAAAAAAAAGACAAAATAAAGAATGAAGCGAGGGTGGAGCCGGGTGAGAGGATTTATAAAGTCAAGGCTCGCTCAATAACTGAGGTGGTAATCAGTGATGAAAGGGTTTCTAAACAGAGCAGTGAAAAGTGGTGTAACTCACTCGCAAAGCTCATACACGAATAAAAAGGATTATGTTATTTATTCTAAAGGACATGTTGAGTCTTGCACTGAGCCAGAATGGATTCGTTCAGGTAATTTTTGCAGCCTCATTCATCCGTCCTCATTTCTGATAATCCTGTGCGCACTAGGCATGCCTGGAATGACGATTGTTCGGAGAATGTTTATGCACGGTGAGGCATTTCAAAATTATAGGCCTTAGACTCAATTTACTGGCCCTGCTGCACAGCTGTGGAGATCTCTCTTAAGTTCTGGTTGCGGAAGCTCCCCTTGTTTTAGTTTTAGTTAGCTGGTTAGTGAGTTTTGTTTCTTTTTGTGCCTGTTCAAGTGTTCAGGTGGTATTTGTAGACCTTACGCCAGGGCACAACTATTCAACAAAACTGCTCAGTGGGCCACAGTTTCTGAAAGCCAACAGCGTGGGGGCCGGACATCCAGCGATTTAAATCATTATTCACTTCCGTTCAAAAATACTTTGTTAATCCCAGGGGGAAATTAATTGTTGTTGTAGCTCATCATCCTGGTTTCATTAGAGTTGTTCTAGATGCTGATAGCTTTGGGCAGGAAGGATCTTTTGTAACAGTCCGTCCAACAGTGGATCTGAAGAAACTGGCTGCACATGCCAATCCGTCCACCCAGACCCAGCAGACCTCTTGGTCCTCTTGGGTAGCAGGACTGCCCGAATGCTGGGCAGAACTCTTCCCCAAACTATGGCCATTTTCCCCAGCAGCCTGCTGAGCCCCTTGTCGCCACGGACTTAATTGCAGGTGCCGGGGACGATCTCAGTCCTCCCACTGTCACGAGCCGCGTTTCCCACTACCTCCAAGATCTCTGCAGTCAGGCACTCGAGCACTGCCTCCAGGTAGACGGGAATGCATCAACGGCACCTCCTTTTCAACTCATTTGGGATTTGGGGCTGTAGTTGAGGTATTATTTGAGCTTTAGAGATGTTAATCAACAGCTCCCAGTTGTAGAAATCCACCTTGTTGTTATGGTTACGCATCATAACAAATGTCCAAAAGTAAAAAAAAGATTTCAGTAAAAATCCTTCCAGCAGCCCAGCATCTGATACCAGAGAAAGTAATCATCTGGAAAAAGCCATTTACATCCAGAAAAAAAAAAAAAAAGAGTAATTAATGTTTTCAAAAGCAAAATCTCAGAATGAATGTCTTGAGCGGCACAATTCTGTAAATAAACCAAAGTTTACAATGATCTGTTACCTTTTAAATTGGTTTATTTTATTGCATTGGATCATAAATGCAATAAACTCAACCCAAACCCAGACCCCACTCCCCCACCAAAAAAAGGAAGTTTTTTTTTTTTTTATTAATTGGGCCAGAATGAAGTCACCCCCGGGCCATTTCCGGCCTGCAGGCCACCAGTTGATTAGCCTTGCCCTAAGCTTTTCTACATGGCTCTGCATTTTTTGTTTTTCATGTGACCTCACTACTTAGTCACCTTTTTACACTTAACATACATGGACAGTCAGACTGCTTCTCTAAGCAGAGTGATGGCCGAGCACTAAGCATCAAAAGCCAGCTGGTGTGTGTCGATGCACACCACAGACCCACTGGTCTGCTCTCCAGATGAGTACAGCTTCTCAGTGGATGAGTTTAATTGCACCCAAGAGATGTAAGAAGTGACCCCATCCACAGGATGAGTGTTGCCAAAAAAAAAACACTCCAAAACCGGCATGTGTACTTTCTTAACATGTGCTTGACTGGCATGCTGTATGAGGTACAGTGAGATGTATGATGTATGTTCATATGTGAGCACATGTGTGATTGCTTTTCTTTGCCTAAGAGAAACTATATTTCAGCTGACTATAAAAATCAAATTTGAAGAAACCACCTTTCATCTCAGAAGGCCAGCTTTGCTTTCAACTCAACTGACTCGCCAGCTTGAGGCCGGAGAGTGAAGAGAACGGCTGATGGATGTGTGTTAAAATGCACATCAGTGAACACTCGGCTGACATTGTAGATACGCCGTCCTAATCTACATTTCACACTTGTCATGACACTTGTGCATTAGACAAGTTCAAGTTGGCAGCATTCCATTTGTTCTTGAGGCCTACAGTATTTTGTACACATACCGTTTTACACTTTTCAGTGTCAAGTATAATTACTATTTAGTCAATGTTCCTAGTCATAATAAATAAAATAATAAAAGCAGTTAGAATAAATGTATACCATATAAAATTATTATTCTTATAACATTCTCATTACAAATTTTCACCAACTAAATTGAGTTAAAGCAATAGTTCATATCTTTTGAAGTAGGGTTCTTTGGATCAG